ACACGAGACAACGGGGGGTTAAAAAAGCGGCGAGATACGACAGGCAGTAATTTCCCGCCACCGAGAGGTCGCTTGCACAAACACACCTTGCCATACTCCGTGGCAGCATGTCAGCGGGTGCAGGTACGGGAGCTGCCACGGCCTCACAGGCTGAATGAATAACGTGAAGTGACCAATGACAGTCTCCTCTGACTCCTTGTTTTTGTCCTGTTCTCCAGCGTCTCAATATGTGGTACGCGATGCCGCCATACGTACAGTACAACACCGTTCACGATGCCGCGAAGTACCTCCTGCACAGACAGTGAGTGTCCCGGAGCCACTCGGGGCTCGGTATCGGTACTATCGCACCCCCGTGCGATATCACCGAACCCTGTGCGACAATCGAATTAAATCACTTGGTTCTTGTTTTTTTATCGCACGGGGGTGCGATATCACCGGCCGGAACGTGCGATATCACCGAACCGTGCGTTCTCTCGCATCCTTACGGTAAGCCGAAAAGGTTGAATAATCCGAAACCGAGAAGGTTCTCCCGAAAAGATTAAACCGAAAAAACCTACAAAGTTAAGCCGAAAACGTGAAACCGAAAAGGTTAAGCCGAAAAGGATAAGCCGAAAACGTGAAACCCAAAGCAAGCGCGAAACAGAAGATGTTAAACCGAAGAAGACCGAAAAGGGTAAGGCGAAAAGGTCAAGCCGCAAAAGGTTGAGTAAACCGAAACCGAACAGGTTAAGCCTGAAAGATTAAAACGAAAAAAACTAAAAATTTAAGCCGAAAACGTGAAACCGAACAGGTTAAGCCCAAAAGGATAAACCGAAAACGTGAAACCGAAAGCGTGAAACAGAAAAGGTTAAACCGAAAAGGACCGAAAAGGACCGAAAAGGATGAAAGCCGAACAGGTTAAACCGAAAAGGTTGAATAAACCGAAACGAAAAGGTCAAGCCGAAAAGGTTTAGCCGAAAATTTGAAACCGACAAGGTTAAACCGAAAAAGATAAACTGAAAACGTGAAAGCGAAAAGGACCGAAAATGATACGCCGAAAAGGTTAACCCGAAAAGATTAAACCGAAAACATTAAACCGAAAAAATCGAAAAAGACGAAATAGATAAGCCGAAGACGTGAAACCGAAAAGGTTAAGCCGAAAAGGACAAACCGAAACGTGAAAAGTGTGAAACCGAAAAGGTTAAGTAAGCCGAAAGGATCAACCGAAAGGTGAAACTGAAAACGTGAAACCGAAAAGGACCGAAAAGGTTAAGCCGAAAAAAACAAAAAGGTTGAGCCGAAGAGATTAAACCGAAAAAAACGAAAACGTTAAGCCGAAAACGCGAAGAAACCCAAAAGGTTAACCCGAAAAGGATAAACCGAAAACAAACGTAAAACCGAAAGCGTGAAACCGAAAAGGTTAAGGTCTATTGTTAACGCAACGGAAAAGCGCCGAAAAGGATAAGCCGAAAAGGTTAAGCCGAAAAGGTTGAATAAACCGAAACCGGAAAGAAAGGTTAAGCCGAAACGAATTAACCGAAGAAAACGAAAAAGCTACAAGTTGAAGCAAACGTGACGTGAAACCGAAAATGTTAAGCCGAAAGGATGAACCGAAACGTGACACCGAAAACGGGGAACCGAAACGTTAAACCGAAAAGGATAAATAAACCGAAAGCGTGAAACCGAAAAGATTGAACCGAAACCGAAAAGGTTAAAACACACCCACATGTCGGTGATGAAACCTCAACCACACGCCTCTATCGACGACCACGTCAGGAGGCAATGATGAAAGAATGTTCTCCCGTGCCATATGTACTCCCCAAACCCAAAAACAATTAAATTAAATCAAACAACCCCCATATTATTTTATAGGACCCGAACGAATCCATGTCTATCTAGGAAAAGAGTCTAAGATAGGTTTTTGCACATCCAACGACACGAAATTACACAAAACGGTAAGAAAATGGTGAGACCACTCCCGTGTGTCCGCACATACTCCGAAATGTGTCCGCACATATGCATACCCGGTACATACGCGTACCACGCTGAAAACACGTTTGAAAATTGAGGGAGATTGCATGCCCTACGACTAAAAGGATGCCACACACAAAACGCCCGACCAGTACCTAACACATTTCTTCTGCACCTTCCCAACATAACATATATGAGACACACAAGACAGCTACCAAACTGTCTTGTTGAGCCTGTTACCCGCAGGGGAGATGTCCCTATATGCTGTCTGGGAAATCGTAGACATAGAGGTACTTTCTGACGCTATGAATTAATTGCTAATTAATCTGTCTCAGACTCTTTTCTATGATAGGGATGGATTCGTTGTGTCATATTAAGAAAAAATAAATAAATAAATAAACCGAAAGCGTGAAACCGTAAAGGTTAAACCCGACAGGCACCGAAAAGGTAACGCCGAAAAGGTCAAGCCGAAAAGATTAAACCGAAACCGGAAAGGTTACAAATAAACCGAAAAACACGGAAAAGTTGAGCCGAAAACGTGAAACCGAAAAAAGATTAAACCGAAACCGAAAACATGTGACCCTCCCACGATTGGTTACGCCCGGAATTCGATTCTCCGTACGGACGTGTACCATGAAACAGATAAGGCTTTTATCTCGATATTAATCAGGTCATGCATAACTCACCTGGGCAGAGATAGTGCACTGTATCTGCGGAGAACGATCAATGTAGGACAGCAGTCAAGCAGCAGTATGCCCAGAGGGCGATTGACGACGTCCAACAGCGATCATACAATTCCTCGCAAGCTCGGTAACGATGTATGTATCAGGTTCAGCACTCACAGGTATTCGCACTTGGTGAGCAAAGGCATAGGGTATGGCTCAATTGATGTTTTGCTTCGGGGGCGGTGTCAAGTGAGACACCCGGGTTGACACCCGGGTCGATGATCGGGCAACCGCCAGAGGGGGCGTTTGCCCTATAGGGGTCAGGGGACAATTCCCTGATGAACCCTTCTGGCAGGCTGGATCGGGGGAGCATATTGTGTGTTCAATTCTCCGATCATGTCAGCCTGCGCCCTCCGAATACTCGCGACCATCGCGAAGTGTTCATCATCGTAGTTTTGGAGCCGGTGAGGACGCCGGAACATCAAGTACACAGTTGAGACGAAAGGATAAGCCGGTGTTTGCTGCCTCCGCGCCTTCCCACGGAGGCTACCGCACCCACTCACGGTAGTATGAATTGATTCTGGGCGGGACTATGTTAACCCCCTTACCACGCACAGAAAATTCGTCGTTCTTGCGAAATTTCTGAAATGTAAGAAAAAGAGCGAACGACGCCTGCTGATTGGATGGTGCAGACACTTCCATCCCTGGGTGCAAGTGCAAAGCTGCCTTCCCACTTGAGCCGTCTCTTGTCTATAATCCCTATCAAATGTCCCCTCGTTACGAGGGGACATACGAGGGGACATTTGATAGGGATTATAGACAGCAACTGGCGGGAGCGTGGTAAACGGGGCACGAAAAGGAGGTTTTCAAGATATTTCTCTAGAGGGAAAAGCGAGACCTTCTAACTCAAGCCCTAGGTTGCTCGGTGCCTCCTATCAACGGTGGTCTAGGTACTTCTTCCGCGCTTGCCCCTAGTAACGATTTCCACTCAAGGGTAGACAGACGCGGCGCAATTTCGCTGTTGAACCCGCGGCGCAATCGCCCCGCAATTCGACCTGTTCATTACCCTCATACTCCTCCACTCTACAAAGCATTCATACTAGAATGGAGTCGTCCCTGTGTACCCCGGCACCCCCCTGGTCGAGTAGTGCAAAGGAGGAGACAATCATGCCATTCTTCGCGAGGTAAAGCAGGTGAAGAAGATGGGGACAAAAAGTGTCCCCAAAAGGCAATCCAGCCCTAAAGGGGTTTTAACCCAGGACCGATGCAGATGACACAAAAACCTTGATTACCTTGTCAAGCCCAGAGAAGAAGCTGTGCCATTTATCGATAATTCGGAAACACTTCGATCCCGGTCGCGCCCCGGTGACACCTGCTCCCTCCTCTTCTCTCTACCGTCGGCGTGCTAAATTCTTCCTTATACATGCACACTCACTTGCGGATCTTGGTGGGGTGCCGAAACCAAAAACTTTCCTTGTTTAGATAATACGCACACATACAATCACAGAACGACCTTCCATTCGGGATGATACCACAGTCGAAGGGGATGTGTTAAGCCTTTGTCTTTTCAGATAATGGGGGGGAAACCTCTGTTGTTGTTGTTGTTGTTGTTGTTGTTGTTGTTGCCGCCAGGAAATGGAAGACGAGAAAAGCTTCAAGGACAAGCAGCTCAAAAGCTCTGAGGCCACCATGCGGCGGCTGCACCAGGACAAGGAGAAACGCCTCCAGGAGATGGAAAAAGTCAAGACTCTCGACGAAAAGGTGGCCGAACTTACTGAGAGAAGCAAGTCATTGCTGTACGCACGGCGGTATTGACAACAGACGTGATGCGGCGGGGTGGGGAGAGCAGGAAGTAGTTGGGATGTGCGGTACCTTTTGGCAACAATAGCGACAACCATGTGCACTTCGCAATCACTCCCTCCCTAACATCACCTAAGCTGCCGAAAGGTACATTATTATCTTCCCAGTTGAACCCCGACGAATGGTTTATCGTTGACAACAAATTATACCACCTACACGTTAGACCCGTACCGAGGTGTCGTTTTTGCTTGAAGGGGCCCTGCGGCAACCAAACCAAAACCAACCAAACCAAAACCAACCCCGAGAAGGTGTTTTCGTTCTTCCGTCTGTCCGATCGATCGCTGCCGAGGGTAGCCATGCCCGCCAACTTCATCACAGTCGCGTAGGCTTGTTGGGCTCCTGCTGTCTCTCCCCGTTGTCGAAGGGCGGCTGTGTGTTGGCGTTCCCTTGTATTGTGCTCACCGGCGAACGTCGCTGCTGCTGTGTTGCTGGTTTGCGCTCCCCCCCCCCACCTGAAAAGCGAATATTTCAGATGGATCCTACCAAAGGGGGGAGGAGTCTGAAATTGGTGTTTATTGGAGTTGATAGAAGAAGTGGGCATTTATATTATATGGCAAAGAGTATGTCTGCGTGCTTGCAGGAGAGGAGGCATGCGCGCCGAGATAAGGCAGCTGCTCGCAGGACATTCCGTTTGCGCCCGATCACGTTGAAGCATCAGCAGTGCTGGAGCACAGGGACTGCTAGACGTACGATTGGACAACACTGCCAGCTGCTGGTTTAGGACATTCTGTTCCGGGAGCTAGTGTTGTCGGCAAGCTTCCCGGCATCGATCGCGTGCTCCATTGGTCGCACTGCGAAACGACGCTATTCCTGCCGCCCCCCTAAACGTGAAATTCAACCAATTGCGTTCATGGCGCGTGTACGCGCGTTTGAATTTCAGGGGACGGAGGGAATTATCACGGCAACCATACCTTTGCCGTTGTGCGCGTTCCCCCATGATTTATGTCCTCTCTCTTTGACCGTCCGTCTGTTGCCCCGCATTTTCTCGCTTTTCCCGCGACGTGCGGATAAAATTTCCTTGGAACGATTGGTGATACGGACGAAAATGGGGGCCGTTCGTGTGTGCGCTTGTCGGTGTTTGGTGTCGTAGATACCCTTGGAACTGAACAACCTCAAGGAAAAGGTGAGACAAAAAAAAATTACGCCACATTATCGCCCCTACCACTGCTGTAGCGTAGCCATCTGGTAACGAAGAGACAAGGGGGGAGGGGAGGTTCTCGTTTGTGGCTTGCCTTCGTAGCCGGACCGTTGACCGCATATCTCCGTCGAGACGGAGCTCCGCAGTCCTAACTCCTGACAGAAACGCCTCCAACACGTTTGCGGGGATACTACTGTTTCTTTCCCTCCCCGCCCGTGCGTTGCTCAGGATCCGTTGGCACTCTTGGGGAGTCGAGGGTATACCCGCCAAGTGTTGGTTTTAGGATGGGCTGCACGGCATCATACGTTGGTTCTCGAATGATTTTTTTAGTATCTTGTCTTTCATCTATTCCGTGGTATGGAAGGCGAAATGCTACCGCCAGTTGTGACACTTCCCTGTCGTTGTCGAGAGTGAGCGGACGTCGGGCGTGTAAAACTATCTTGTTTACTTTCAAGAACGACAACAACATCAACCAAAATACAAACGCCATCACGCAAACAGATGGATCGGATGCGTAGAGAGATGAGGGAGTTCGACGACATCGACGGTCTACGAGACGAAGCTGCACAAACAAAGGTGCGCAACACAATTGGACACCCCGCATGTTAGTCTGGCTGTCGTCGTGAAATTATTTCCGTCCCTGCTCACGCCCACGGTTCTTGGACTCAGGCAGGGATAAATCACGCATCGTTCAGAACCACGTTCCTTTCTGGTCTAGATGGCTATTAGCGCGTTCACGCGTGTGTTGCGCCCTATTTTGTTATGCAGCCGTGTCGAACAATCGACTCGTGAACGAACGTGTTTTCTGTGCTTGTCTTCGTGTTCGGTTTGTGTATGAAGTTTTCGCGGTCAAACGTTGTTTCTACTCCTCCTTCCCAAGACATTTTCGTGTCGGGCGCGCCTACGGCCAGGCAGCACTATTTAATCGGCATCAAACGTAGACGATTTCGAGTGGCCGTCTCTCGGAGGTCACGAGCCCCCCTCGATCGATCAGCCAGTGGCGGTCTCCGTGCCTCACTGGCTGTGGCCTGGTCCGCCCGGCTGTGACCACGCCTGCCATCATCGTTGTCGTCGATGATCGTAGGAACACCTGCAGGGGCTCAGGAAGCAGTACCGCTGGCGGGTGGAGGCGATGCGGGGGCAGGTGCAGCAGCTGACGGCTAGGCACGAGGCCTGCAAGAAGGAGCTCGCCGCCAGCGAGACGGTGAGAGCAAGGGAGTCATGCAGCAACCGTGCCGCGAGGCACGCACGCTCACACACACACACACACACACACACACACACAATTTTTGCTATCGCCAACCACTTGGCGCACGAAGCTTTTTGCCGGGGGAACTTTGACGACGAAAGAGCCTTAGTTCGCCTGAAAGCTTTTCATACTAACAGGGTTCGGAGACGGTTTACCTTCGAGCTAGCTCGTTTTCTGTCGATGCGAACTCGCGATGTGTTCAAACGTCATGGGCTACTGATCGACCAACTTCCGCCAAGACCAATCGGTTGGGATCTCTGCGACAACGATAGTAACGGGGGTGATTATTTTGGGAGTGACGGAGACGAAGGAAAGGGAAAGGGAAGAAAGGAGGACGAAAACGACGATGGAGGAGGAAAACATGGAGGAGTGGAAGAGACCAAAGGGTTTGAGCCAGATGACCTTCCCAAAAACAAGAAACGTAGGGCTAGGGGAGAGCTGCCCAGAGATTCTTGTCAAGATGAGGATCAGAATGATGGTAGCGAAAACAAGGAGGATAATAGTGAAAGTACTCCTAAACGAACTAGAGTACAAGGTAATAGCCTTGGTAGACGCGTCCAGTTTTCTTCTGTTGCTGCTGTTTCTGTCTTTGATCCGAAGGATAGTTTAGCCTCCCCCATGCTGCCCCCTCACGGGGTCCCAGTGTAATGGCATTTAGAAGTGTTTTGTGTTTTCAACCGCACTAAGACTGACGTCTTTTCATTGGTCAGCCGGTTAGCGCGGTCGATATGCTAATAAACACACACACACACACACACACACACACACAAGGCCGGAGTCTTTCCAAAAAGAGAACTCTAAACCGACCGTCTGGAACAAAACCGAACCATCAAGTAGAGGAAGTTGCCTGGGTCTAACCTTGGGGTGGGTGTATCGCAAGCCAATGGCGAAGAAGCATCCTATCAAGATAGTGAAAACATGTCGTTGAAAAACGGGAAAACGTGTCGGCGATTTCAGGGGAAGACACTGGAAGCCCTGGAGAGGAAGATGCGAACGTACGAGACCAATATCTTCTTCCTGAAGGAGTTCGTGGAGACGAAGGGGCGGGAGATAGACTTCCAGAGCCTGCGGGGAGAGTGCATGGGCATGGTCAAGGACCTAAACGAGGCCGTCAAGAGGAAGGGAGAGACGGAAGGGTTCGGTGTCGCCTACTGAAGACCACAACCGATACACGAAAAGCAACTCCTGGATGGCTGGTTATGGGGCCCGTTACCCCAGAGCAAACAAATGCAATATGATTGGTTAAGCGCCAAGAAGCCCCCACGAGTGTGAGTTCGGGGAGGGGGGGGGGGGTGCGGGGAGAGACAAAAACCACTTTTCCCCGGGTTGTTGCCCTTTTTTTTTCCGGGGGGGGGGGGGGGGGGGGTGCACTCATGTAAGCGCATACCGTAGTCGTTAGACCATTGGCCTGGCATCCATGTTTTCGCGGGGGGGGGCGCACAAAATGTTGGCACCTTTTCGCCGAACACAAAAGAAGCACCAGCATACACTCCAGGACGGACGCCGTGGTTGTTTGTTAGGGGACGGAATGAGGGAAGGCGGTGATGGAGAAGAGAAGAAACTCTGCTGCCTTAGACTCCGCAATTCCTGGGTTGCGTGTTTTTTTTGGGGGGGGAGAAGAAGAGAGAACACTGGTGGGCAGACCTCTGGGGCGAGGAAATGCCGCCCTGTTATGACTCTCGGTGTGTGTCCCCTCCGATCGGAAGTTGCCAGCCGGGAGCGAGATGAGCGCTAGGAGTTCAGGGAGGGGGGGGGGGGGGGGTGCGACTTCTTTTGCGCATCCCCTTTGGGGAAGGGAGGGCGAAAGAAATGCTGTGTTGTCGCTGTAGGGTGGGAAATGACGAAATGACAAACACGAACTTGCTGGTTGGCGTAGAAGTGCGAGAGACATGCAACAACATCAGATGCCAAGAAAAAGGTTTCCTCCACAAACCGCATTGCTAGGGTTGGACTGGACCCCAAGAAGACGGCAGGCTTCTGTTGCATGCGTGAGCGAGGAGTGTACGTATGTCGAAGTCTTGAGCAGCAAAACGAAATTTAGTTTGGAGTCGAGAAAGACACGGTAGTTGAGAGTCACGTGATCTTGGGTTGCCGACAAGCGCGCTCACCCTTTGTACTCCCAGGCATCTCCTTCTTGTGCGCTTCAAGCAACCACGACATCAAAGAAAACTTATCTCCACTTATTTCCTCTCGCGCACGACTCTACCTTCCATGACGACACCACAACAGGAAAAACAAAGAGCCGGACACGCTCTCTTATACGTGCAGATTGTCTACTCTCGATTTTCTCTCCACTCTAAAACACGAGGGCACCTGCATGCGCCGGTAGGCTCGCCCAAACGGCGACAGTACCAGTCGTATTCATCATCCCACGACCTATCTGAACGGTGATAAATCGCCCAACAATCTCGCTCCCACCCCCGTACAAGAACAGCGAACGGAGGAGAGGCAGGCTCGAATATATAAAATAACATCTGGGAAGATAACGACAACCAACCACAGCGCAGCTTCGTCTCAATCCTCGATCAGCTCCAGCTCTCCCGCAACAACCCAGCTCGCGAAGCCCCCGTGCGGAGAAGCGAGGTCTGGGTTAAGGGTCTCTGTTGCAGAACGCCAAAGAGAATGAGAGACTTGACCGTAGCCAACCTCTCTCCCTTCGGTAATTATCCATCCAAAGTGGCTTGTTCGGGCTTCCACTTGTGACAGGGCATCCTGCTGCTGAGTTGTCTCAAGCCTCAGCTGGCTTTGCCACTGCCGAAGGTATCTCTAACTTGCCGTCGCTCCCTGTGGGGGGGTGGCCGGGGGGGGGGGGGGGGGGGGGGGG